TCTATCTATCTATCTATCTATCTATCTATCTATCTATCTATCTATCTGTCATCTCTCCCTGCCTGCCTGCCTGCCTTCCTGTCTGTCTTTCTGTCTTTCTATCTATCTATCTATCTATCTATCTATCTATCTATCTATCTATCATCTATCTATCTATCTATCTATCTATCTATCTATCTATCTCATCTATCATCTATCTATCTATCTATGTCATCTCTCATCTATCTATCTATCTATCTATCTATCTATCTATCTATCTATCTATCTATCTATCTATATCATATTTATTCCCCACACAATCAAAACTACTCTCAGTTAACATGGTACGGAAAAACAATTTAAAACATCTATAGTAATTGCAACAACAATATAAAATCAAATCTCAATTATTATTAAAAGAACAATTCAAAATAAGGCAAAAGAATTCACAAATAAAACACCTATAAATAAAGAAACAGAAATGGTCTGTTTTGATTAAAATGCTCTTCGGAACCATTCTGTCCTTAGCAACTTTGCGAGTGCAGTCAGGGAGGGTGCCAGCCTGATTTCTACAAGAGAGGGATAGGTAGATAGAGAAGGTACTTTGTTCACTCATCATTTGTTCCTTCCTCCAGGTAACATAAGGTTCTCTGGAGTGGTAGTTCTTGAGAGAACAAATCTCCTTGTCTCTCAAGCTGTGTCTCTTAATTTAATTGCATCTATCCACTCTGTTTCTTCCAGGGAAGTGTCTGTGCCAGCAATTTGCTGTTTATAATGTGGTTTGTTGTTCCATTCCAATTTAACTTTTAATTAGGTCCAGCAACAATCTAAGCAACAGGGGCATAGATGCAGAGAAATAACTTTCCATAAATATCTTTGACGTTAAATCTATGGTTTAACCTCATTTTCCCCTCAAAGGACAGGACCCCTCCTCCAATCTCCGAGCCCCAATACAGGATGGATCATCTTATCCCATGACCACCAACTTAACGCAATTTGATGATGAACTTTGACACATGCTTTCTAAAATGCCACATGTATAGCCTCAACATGGCTGCTTAATCCATGTTGTGCTGTGCTATTCCAGGAAAAAGTTGGCTGTTTGTTGCATATAGGTGCTTGCCTGAGTCTGAAGTACATTCCCTAGATCCAAACACCGCAAAGCTCTGTCTCTGTTTTGAGTGACTCTCCCTTACACCATGTTCTCTTTTAGATATTGATATCTAACTTAACTGAGTTGAGTTCAGTAAATGTGCATAAAAGAGTAGCTGCAAATAAAATTACAAATTTTATTTGATACATAATGCTCAAATCTGCTAAGTCATAATTGTCCATTCAAGACTAATGTCATAGCCACATTAGAGTCAGCTCAGAGGTCTACTATAATTTAAGCCTATATATAAGCTTCCCATCAGTTATCACACATGATTGGCCACTGGGCCATGTAAAAAAATAGTTGTGTTTAGTCTGTCCTAATTTTCAGGTGAAAATCATGTACAGTGCTCCTTTTGAATTTGTAATTGTATTTTCAATGTTAGCATATTAGTCTAAAACAAATTGAGAACATACTATTATAGCTTTATGTAAGTTCTGCAAGATACATTTATGCTAGCTTGCAGTAAAGGAATACTGATAAATATAGATGCATCCTGTAGTTGGTAGTCTTATATTTATCTGCTTCAGGGAGTAACAACTTTTTGGTACTCTTTGATTTGTTCAAAATGCTTCTGCTGTATCTATGATATGTGCTTAGGCCACTTTATGCTTATAAAGCAGGAATGTCAAACCCCCGATGTCACTTTGTCATCATGTGACGTATTGTGACTTTTTTCCCCCTTCACTAAACCAGGGGTGGGCGTGGCCAGCGTGTAATGCACCCGGCCTGCAGGGTGCAAGTTTGACACCCCTGTTATAAAGGATATCAATTGTCAGGAAATGCAGTAATGCTATTTTATTTTCAAAAAATGAAAAATTACATTTTTAACCTGTGTTTTTATTTGTACATTTAAAAAGAGAAGATGTAAGAAATGAGAATGAAGCAGGGTTACAAAACAGCTGTATACAGACAGCCCTCGACTTATGACCACAATTGGGATCAGATTTTCTGTTGCTAAGCCAGGTGGTTGTTAAGTGAGGCATACCCAATCTTATGACCACTTTTGCCCCAGTTGTTAAGCAACTCACTTCTTTAGTTAAGTGAACCACATGGTCATTAAGTACAATCAGCTTGACTTCACTTACCAGAAGCCAGCTGGGAAGGTCCCAAATGACAATCACATGATCCCGGAACTCTGCGACCATCATAAATACATGCTGGCTGCCAAATGCACGTGTCTGGGGGAATTCTGTGATAGTCTTAAGTGTGAGGAAGATTGTAAGTCACTTTTTTTGAATAACTTATCTTTGAGTGGTTACTGAACATATGGTTGAAAGTCAAGGACTACCTATAAATGGAATCTAGCTAATATCTCTATCCTGGATGTTAAAATAAATTAACACAGTGATTTGTTTGTGTTGTGTTTCTCATTTTGCTAGAGCACGGTACTATTTTGAAGGCACTGTCTACTACCAACAAGAGCCTGAGGAGTTGTTATTTAGAGGAAATGCAGATTCTTCCCACCAGTCAAAAGGAGCCAATCCAAAGTCTTCAAATATTGCACAGTGGCAGATCATTGTTTGTTGGTTTGAATAATGGAGTGCTAAAAATCCCTCTGGAGAGATGTTCAATGTACAGAACAGAAGGGTAAGAAAATGTATCGGTCGGATATATTTCACACTGTCTTAAAAAGAAAAGCACTAGGGAAACATATTGCTACTGATTCATTTTAGAATACCTTTCGTCATCATTCAAAGAAAGCAGAAAACATTAGCCTGAACGGATAGTCCTGAAACAAAAAGAATAATTTGAAAACAACTCTTTTTTTTTTTAGTGCATCCTCATTAGTCCCAATTAGAGATCGATGCAACGTACAAAGGCATATAGTTTACTCCTTTTTCTTGTACGTTCTTGAATCAACACCAATTTTATTTTTCTCCTTCTGTATTATGCAAGTATCATTCTCATAATTATTACTCTGCAGCCCTGGTCACATTATGAATGGATCCGATATAGGTGTGACTGGACTTGCCATACTTAGTAAAGTAGGAGAAGCTGCAGCAGTGGGTGGAGTCATGGATGACCTCTTTCCTACTTCATTGGACGTCTGAAAATTTTCCAGAGTATTTCTCTTGATTCAAATGAGTCATAGCCAACATTATCCACAGCTTGTTGCTTTGAATGAAAGGCAAAATTGTGGTTAATCAAAAGGCAAATCAGAAGCTTACAAACCTCTCCTCGGGGTTATGTTGGATTGCTGCTCTAATTTCATCTAATACTAAACATTTTTGAAAGTAGACAGTATGTTCGGCTTCATTCCTCAGTTCTACTGGTTCCATATCAATGAGATTCAGGATTTCAGAGCAATTTCAGATGTTCTTCTTGGAAATGGTGGGCATGGAGTCTACCTCATACACTACCACGGAAGCTGGTTGGCTTTCTTCTGTGCTGTAGCTTGTCTTAGAACTTGTACTGTTCTGATCTGTTCAACAGTGTAGGCACATCTTTGCCATTATCATTCAGAAGTTCCATCTTCTAGTACCAGTAATTTTATGCAAGATTACTTCTCTATATACTACCTGATGAAGATTATGTATATAGTTGCTTGAAGACTATGTTAGCACTGAAGAAATCATTGGATTGGCAGAATTTGAAAAGAAATATTCCTGCTTCACTTCAGGAATGACCATACAGTTCAGTTATGTTTTCCTTTGTAATGTTTTGGCATTCCAATTTTCAACCAACAGCTTGCATATTCTATTTAAAATTAAACGCTACTATTAATCTGGCTAACTTCATCTTTTTTCCACCAGTGGTTGGAATATAAACTTGAACAACTGTCCTATTCAACCATTGTCTGAAAAATCTAATTGATATTATTTGGTCATTGAACACATTATATTCAAGCACTGTCCTTCCAGGATAATTCCTGATGATAAAAACACTGTTCCTTCCTTATTTTTCATGTCTTCAGTGGATATATGACCTTCTGATTCAAAAATGTTGAATTCCAGTCCATTTTTATTCACTGATAACTAAAATGCCAAACTAATCAGTTTATTTATTTAATCTTTTATTGTGGGAACCATGTACATGGGAACTTTTCCATGTACATGCTTGTTAAATATGTAAGCATACCATGCTAGATCACACCCCTAGTTTATCTCGTCTAACTGTCTATTTTCACAGTAGTCAAACAACTCCACAAGGAAGGCCATCAATCTCCCAGAAAATGGCCTTCAAAAGTAGTCACAGAGCCATCAAGGCTAATAGCCACCAATCTCTGTGGTTCCCACAAAGTAGTCCAACCTTTTATTTTTTTTCAAGCGAGCACCTCATCTCCATTTTTCCACTAGAATTGTGTCTTAGCAGCTTCAGACTTTCTTTCACTACATGGCAACTAGATGTCCCACAGCTTTAGACTAGTGATGTTGTAAACCAAAAGATCCTCAGCTCTTATTCAGCAGCCTGTTGAAAGCCGCAGTTGAAGAGCCCATCATCCAACCCTGTCCCCTCCATTATTTTATCTCTTCTATCCATGTTGTTTTCATGGCAAAATGCAGGTGGATTGTCCATAGTTTTGTCCTACATGGTGTGAAATGATCGTTTTCTATTTCTAGCATCTTCCCATAATGCTGCTACTCAATATAGGTGACTGCTTACTTTACCTGGGCAGCTGGGATGACCTTTACACCTTGAGTAACCCTGCTGAGATGATGTACTCTTGACATACATGCCCGGTATTCTTTGCTCATCTCTCCAGAAACGCCACTACAGTATCACAAAAATAAACACATGACTGTAGTGTATATGTGAGGTAAAATGCCCTGCAATGAGCATATTGCTTTTGCAGATTATATTGAACAAATCCTCTTCCAGTTGAATGTTTAAAAATATGAATTGTATTGATGTAGAGTAGCATTAGTAGATGACTATTTTGGATGAGACAGAAAGGAAAACATTAACTGGGACTCCATCATAATTTTTTTAGCTGTCCAAGACAATAGCATCGTTCAGTCTCTCTGTTTAAACCATCCATACTATGACATCATAGTGAAAAAATGTTCTAAGCTGTCTGAATGTTTACCTGCCAGCATCTACCTGGGATATAGTTTTTCAGGTCAAAATAACCATGCCAGTTTTTTAATGCATTTTTGAAGCCAATCACTCATTTCAGGCAAAGGTGACACTTGGAAAAGGAACATATTTATATTGTCAGCTCATAGATGGAAAGTAGAATGATTCTTATTTGTTTTCTTTCCAATTTTCGTTCCTGGGTTTATTCCTATTGCTCAGAAGCCTTATGGACAACAGATTTGTGTACCTTTGGTGACCTTGCCTTCAAGCCCTTGCAAAAAAAGCTGACAGGCTCTGAATTTTCACCTGGTTTCTAGAGATGGAAATGTTAGACATTTTTCAAGCTTCTTAAAGCTAGTCTCAAAAAACTAAGCAGAATTGGATCTGACTAATACTAAAATGGACACCATCAGGAAATCCCAAGGCTGTGGAAATTGAAAAGTAGGAATGGAAGAAGGCAGTGTAAAACAAGCTACGTAAATAACAACTACTTTGTTGTTATTCTCATTGTAGTTGTTATTACTATTATTAATTCAATTAGTATGTCACCCATCTTATTTAAACGACTCTAAGCATCTCACTACAGGTAGAAACAACATTCCAATTAAATCAAGACTAATGTATAAAAACCATTAACAATCATTTTAAAATAAAAAGAAACTTCCAGAAACACAGCATGGAGTTTTATAAATATAAGAATTAAAGAATTAAATTAAATACTATGATTTTGCTATTAAATGTATATAAATAATTGTACAAATGTTCAAGAGGCTTAAGTAAATAGATCTTATAATAATAGTTGATTGTAAATATGGTGATGTGGTTGCAAAAAAAAACAACAGATGTGATTTTAGGCTGCGTCAGTCGAAGTATATATTCCAAACTATGAGAAATAGTTATTCTACTCTATTCTACCTCAGTCAGAATCCACTCTGTCTATTGTGTTCAGTTTTGGGCACTTTTATGGAGCATTCAGAGGAACTAGAAGAGGCTTAGAAAAGACCAGTGAATATGATCAAGGGACCAGAAATTAAGGTCTGAAAAGAGTTGAAGGAGCTGGTATACTTAACCTTGACAAAAGGAAACTAAGGGGAAATGCGGAACTTTTTTTACATAATGTAAATAAAAATACAACACAGGATATACACTGTGTAAAAACAGAAATTCTCTGGCTCCTAGAGGGGACTTAAGGGGACCATTCTGAAGACAGACTTGAAAATATCTGAGAATATGTCCGTAGGTCTTTCTTATTCCAGGCTATAGGATATAAAGTAATGGACTGAAGTTGCCAGTGTAGATTGCAATTGAACTCTTTAAAAAGACAGTAATTGTGGAACCGTTGCCCTCTCCCCGCTCAATTAGAAATGTTAAAGTGAAGGCCAGATGGCAATTCATTTAATGTGCTTGAGTTTAAATTCTTGGACTGAAAGGAGGTTGGTCTAAGACACGGGTGTCAAACTCGCTGCATCATGTTGCCATCACATGATGTTTTGTGACATTTTTCTCATTTACGGAGCTGGGGTGGGTGTGGCCTTCATGTGATGAATCCGGCCCGTGGGCTGCCAGTTTGACAGCCCTGGTCTAAGAGGCCCATTCCAACTCTATGATTATATGAAATCTTGGCTTGGATCTGGACGCATTCTGTTCTGTCTCTCATGGTATTCAGAAATCTTTTCATCATGCAGTTTTTGAAACATCTGTTTTCCCTGGTATGGAATGTAATGACTATGACCCTTAATTTCAAAACAGGAGCAGGTATAATATTCCAAACAGAAGTACTGGGATTTATTTATTTATTTATCAAATTTATATATGATTGCCCAACTCCATAGTGGAAAATGAGAAGGAAAAATGATGTAACAAGGCAAAAAGAGCATGTTCAGAAAAGAATAAGAAATCCAAGCCAACATATTAGTGTTTTAATATGCATAGTTAGCCCAAGGTCCATGAGACAGATAGACAGAAGACCACCAGAAAGAGCTGTAGACTACACTGGGAAGATTTTAAAAAATCCCCAAAGAAAGCACTAGGCTCCCTCTTTTGTATAGTTGCTAAGAAAAGTATTTGGACATTCCTGTTAAATCATTAGAAATCAAACTTTACTCAAACTGCTGAATTATTCCTATCTCTTCTTTCAGGCATCAATTCTGAAGGATAGATATTGTACTGACAGTTCCCAATGTCAGATGCATATGGATACCAGCTAAACCTTAATTTTCGATGCTTGCAGAACCCTGTTCTGATTTTGGTCCATTAGAAAAGCTTAGAACTATTTATTTATATATTTATTTATATGTTAAGTTGAAATTGTATAATGAAAAAATGTGTATATAGAAAGATGATAAGGAAATGTAAAAGATGTCTTGACATTGATATAATGATGTATAAAGCTTTATTTTATGTTTTTAAATTTTGAAAACTAAATAAAATTTACTAAATTTAAAAAAGAAAAGAAAAGCTTAGAACTATTCAGTTGAGTAGCGATAGAATTATGTAGCTTTCTCAGTTCTCATGGTTAGAAATCCTTTTCAGATGTAGTGATGCTTTTGTGAATGATGTTCATTTCTCTT